TGCTGCCACAGGAGAAGTGCTACTTGTCCCACAGATTGTAACACCCTGAGAGTATCACCTGTTCTTAGCTAAAGATCACTAAAACAATTCATTATCACCTGACACCACTGCTGCAACTCACAGCATGTGACAGCAGGACGCCAAGTGCCGTTATTAAAAACCAAGGCATCCACTTATTTCAGCAGATACGTTCAAACATTTTAAAATATTCTATTGTAAGAATCTTTAGCCAACCCCTTAAAGTACGACATGCTGAGAATAAACTTAAATGGCAGCCACTATTTTAGAGCTCATGTACACTGCAGTGATTGATGTCACAGAAGCACAGGCAACAATTCCTGTTAATGAAACCACAGAACAATTAGACTGCTCAAAGCTGAAGCTCGATTCATAAAAAGTCCCCATTTTCATGCAAGCACAAGCCCCCTTTCTTCTCTGCAGTGTCCCACTTGTTACTCTTTCACCATCACAGACTTAAAAATAATAATAAGTATTCTAACATGGGGCTATTACATATAACACATGATTAATCGCTGGGCATTATTACTTATTACTTGCACTCATTATATCATATTTGAATCTGAATTGCTGCAGCTCATGAAATCTCATGATGAGGTCTGAAAATGCCAATTTTTCACAGATCTTGTGATGTCTTGAAAAAAGGTATCAACAAGATAAATATGACAGAGCTCCCTCATGCCTGGAGTTACAACTCTGTAAATTGGTCAATTAGTGGCTTGCAGCATGATTGTAAACTTTGTCAATGTGAAATTATTTTTGAAGTGTGGAAAAACATTACTGCCATTACACCAAATTAAAGGAAGAGAAGTATTAAATTAGGAAATAGTCCATAAAACAATTGTGACCTGTAATAAAAAAAAACAAGCAGGTATCAAAGTTCACTTTTTATATTACTTCCCACTTTCCATCTTAAAGCCCTGAAACCAGTCATGTTGAAACTAGTTAACAATGACTTGATATTTAAAACAATTCCCTGCTGACTTCTTAACTTTAACATCCTGAAGTTAACGTGTAAGAAGATAAATACCCAGATGGCATTTCCGAGTCAGAAGGCTCATCATGTGATAATCATGTGATCTTGTGTCATTCCTTACACCAATAAGGAAGTTAACCAGCTGATCCTGGTTTCCAGTGCTCAGTTGTAAGAAAGAGGTTTTCAACCAACCAGTAATTTCGATAACACGCTACAAACAAAACTCAAACCGTTTATGTAGAGCGAAAAAACTCGAGCTTTACGAGTTTCACTTTCTAAAATTGCGTCCTTTCTTAATACAACTCCTACAACTTATTACTCAACACCCTTGTAGCCTTAATGCAGCAGGGTGGCATTTTAGAGGAAAGTGGCAATCAACCCAACATGCCTAAAAGAAGCACCCTAACAAAAGGCTGTGTTACGAGTGAACCATATTACAACTCAGTCTCATAATACTACTTTATTTGAATAGAGTATTGGCACGATCGTATATGTTCGCATCCCTTCCTCTCTCGTGCCTTTTGCTTTAGACAAAACAGGCTAACGCCAGAGCTAACTTTTGTAGTCGTCATCAGCTAGTCAACTAGCTTTGACTAGTCCTCGCAGTCTCATGATGAAGCGGGAAGGCTAGCTGTGACAATTGTATTCACAAAGAAATACAAACTAAAAATTAGCAAGTTGGGAACACGCCAACAATCACTGGCTGCACCAGCGAAGTCTAAATAAACGACTGCTCGAGATTAGCTTTGCCACGATAGCGGACGGCCCTCACACTTAGCTCGGAAAGAAGTACTATGGCTGAGACCGCCGCGTTGGGACACATGCACACACACACGCAAAAAGGATTAAGCTGCAAAAGAACACTGCACCACTGGTTAAATAATAATTGATATATGAAATATAATCCTTTTATAATTACCGCTGAACACCATCGCCGCAGAGGCACCCATCGCTGAGAAGAACGGGGCGTACTCGGGGCCTTCGTTAGACGACATTCTTTCTCACGTTTTACGGTATAAAAAAAAATAAACTAAATATACAAAATTAATTATATCTGGTGTGTCAAAAAGCGCACTTCACGAAACCTGTCGAAGGCCACGGAATTGAAATGCTGAAGCGACTATACTAAGAAGGAACCTTCTTGTCGCCTAACCTAACAGTGTAAACGAAACAGTCACGACTCCTGCGATAAATACCCGGCGCAGCAGTACAAAATGGCGAAGCGGAAAATATCACCTGACTGGTCGTACGGACAAAACCTATCACTGACAGGGTGAGAGGGGGGCACAGTAAAAAAAAAAGGTTAATGATTTACTGTTCGACACAGACTGTTTACGAAAGAAAATGTACGGGTTTAAAGCGATGTTTTAATGACGTAGTCTGAGCAAAAACAGCGTTTTTGTTCTTTCTTTTCACCTTTTATTTTAAAGGTCACCCCTATTGTGCTTCGCTTTGGTATGCTCCGCTGCAGGCTTTCCCTTTGATATCTACATTTAATTCACCCTTCTGAAGAATGAGGACGAAATGATGGGTGAAAGCAATAGATATCTTATTTATTATTTTCTACACCTTGCACCCGGGCTAGGGCCATTTAGTGGAAGGTGGTTTGCAGTCAGGTGTGATATGCAGCAATGTACCACATAACAGTGGGAGAATCCCCATTTCACTGAGATTAAGAAAGAGGAAGGGGTCATGAGAGCTCGCACCCCGAGTTAGATATGAAGAATGTCTGCATGTGTGACTCAGAGAGAGCTTGTGCAGTCCCCATGCCTCCTCCTCTTCTCCCATCTATTCCTCTTACCCTGCTCACTCTGCATTGCCTAGTCAAGTCAGCACTACATGCAGGCCCCCTCCCCCAGTGCTACTGTAATAGCCTCATGACTCGTGATGCCATTTCTCCACAAGGACCACAGGCCTCCTTCCTTTCGATCACTTTAACTGGCCAGTATCTTAGTAAATCAGGGGTATAAAACAAGAACAGAACATTTGGAGATGGGGATGATGTGTGTGTTTGTGTGTGTGGTGATGCTGATAGCAAAACGGTCACTATGAATGAAATGACTTTCATTTCTGTTTTCTCTTTTTCTGGTCCTTGACTGAACACTCATTGATCCGGGTGGGGGGGTGAAGAGAGAGGTGTGTAGCATTTCAGCTGAGACTGGATTATAGTGTTCATACTCAGAGCCTATTTAATAGCATGTAATGTGATAGTCTACATACCCACTTCATTGATTCCTGTTTGTTTTGAGTAAATGGTAATGACTGTGTTGTAAGGAGAGCATACGCTATAATTTATTGGCTGATCTCTGGAATTACTTTTAAGGAAGGGAAAGAGGGAACTGTGAGAAGTTCTCACAAGGGCATCATGAAAGGCACGTTTGCTACAAAGTGTCAGTGCACACTGTCATCCTTTAGCTTTCAGTGATTCTGCTCAGTTCCACACATGTTATATGTCATAGATAATGTAAAATTTTCCCTTTACATAACAACACTGAGATACCCAGTGTCTAAATTTACATAAGAAACAGAAATCCTCGACATCATTTTAAACACACACACACACCCCAGTACCAGCTCCTGCAATATTCAGTCATTGAATCAGATCAGTACTCGTTGGGACCTCCTCAGCCTGTGTTTTAACCCACCCACTCACTAAGCCAAGTGGCAGGGGTGGCGGTCAAGGAAAAGACCAGTCTCAGTGTACTGTTAAACACTTAAGCATCTTATTCCTCGAGGCTAAGAAGCATGGTTTTTCAAGGAGATGCGCCAGACCAGCATCCAAAGGAGCAGCTAAATATAGCCTTGCATGTGCGATTAGGAGAGTGTGAATCCTGAATGGAGAGCACAGCCTTGGTGAGACAGAGTCAATTCCACTTACTGTAAAAGAAGGAATTACTCCACTCCTTCGCCATTTAAGCTGCTGCATCTCTGCAGATACATTACAGCGAGGCACGCACACACACACACACACACACACTGCAAATCAGTTTGCGCTTTTTTAATTTATATGACTGCACTGACATTGATTGCTTGCACATTGACATGTCAAATAAAATGTCTGATAAATAACCAGGTGTATCAGTTTCCACAGCTGTGAGTTGGTAGGTATGCATGATTCAAATACAGCAGGCTCGGTTTCTCTGTTAGGTTTGATTGAAATGTGGCATGGATTTCTATGAATTGAATTCTGCAGCGCAGCTCACTACCAAGATATATTTATAACTATATCTGACTCATATCTGCTGAATATTTTCCAGTCATGCAGCGTCAGTGTCAGCTTCCACAAAAGAGAGACATGCACAAGACAGCCAAACGAAAATAGACGTGGTGCGTGTGTCTGAGCAATTTACTTGTCATTCTTAGTAGTTTAAAGCTGGAGCTTTACTACAGATTTATATGCAATTTGCAAGAATTTAATTTCTGCTAATTAGGGTGTCAGTTGTGGTTTTAATATCACAGATTTCTCTGTGGGTTTGAGGTGCTTTGAAGGCTTACAACTCCCTCCCAAAAAAACTCAATCCCTATGTGATATGGCTTTCAGTATACACTTGTATAACTTTGCAGTCCCTTTGGGAAAAGGCTAACTGAAAGTAACCGCTGGGAGTACAGAGCAAACACAAGACAATGTGTGGTCAGCTGACCGTAAAGGCATGTGGCACACTTCTGTGAAAATCTGAGAAAATGCAACTCTTGCTTTGCAGGAACAAACGTGACAGATTTGAAAGGATTAGAAAGCTAAATCTTCAAATGTGAACTGTGGATAATGTCAGGAGAATCAGGGTCTGGAGTTCACTTTTCCTCACCGCAGCAGATGGCTCGCTTCAAAATCATTCTCACTAGTAGAAATACTTTTACTTACACCCATTTATTCACTGTGAATTCATTAGTATTACTCTCACACTGAGTTGTTTTAGGGAAATGGATGTTTAAAGCTGTTTTTGGACTGCAGTGTGTGGGTGAAAACACCTTCAGTAACAAGACAAAATAACAATGACAACACAATGACTCTGATGAAAGCTTAATGCTGTATTTTCACATTTGCAATTACTCAATTGACACTTTACTGAAGCACATTTTCAAATCCACACTCTCACACAGAGGCCCCCCAACGACACTTTAGGAACAGGACAACGTTTCAACTTCTCATTACAATCTTTATACTGGAAAGGACGGAAATAACAGGAAAATGATGTAGAGGAGAAGAAAAAACAACAACAACATTATATTCATATACTGCACAAAAGGGAGACAATCATCACAGACTCAAAGAGAAAGCTGGTGCAAAATGGCAACATAAAAATTCACTAGATCTTCATAAACATTTACACCATGAATTCATTTGTCAGATCTCCCATCTATTCACGATATATCAGGAAGTGTGGGAAGATACGACAGGTTCTCTAACATCTAGGTTCTTTTGTTCATCATATATCACAAACATGGAGACTCGACTTCACACATGCTGTTGTAAACCTCATGACCTGATAGTAATGTAAGGACTGCAGAGTTAGCTTAACAATGAGTTTGGCAGATTGAGATAAACTACAGAAGAAAAAAAGGACTTCAATTTACATTCAGAAAATCAAATGTTTTTGCTCAGCAGGTTGATCCTGGACATTTCCATTATCACGTCAACAAAATGAGTACACAAATCTATAAATACAAAAATAAACAGGAAAAAAAAGAAACATTTTTGTTCATTTGCAGAAATTTGAACAAACTGCTTTAATACATTTAAAAAATAAAATAAAATTCAGAGTTGAATTTGCAGGACGGATGTGGTTTTGTTTGCATGTTTTCCACCTAAAACACTTGACTTCTTATTTCACATGTTTAAGTGTTTGTGGATGAATACCTAAGTATGTGTTGCATGTATGTGCTCAGCATTATGAGGCCATGGTGTCCTGGAAGCCCCACACCTCTAGCAGTGAAATCTGGAAGCTCTCTGCACACAGGGGCGGGTTGTCAAAGGTAGTGCAACTGCCAGTGCGCCCGTGGTTCAGCTCAGAGTCGATATACAGAGCGTTGCCGTTGCCTCCTCCTGATCGGACAGAAGATGACAGAGTTTGCATGAGTTACCAACGATCAGCACTTCTTCCAAGCAGATTCTTTAATATTAACACTGTTTCATCGACATATAGTGATCAACACGTCTGATCAGTTTGGCAGCAACTCAGTGCAAGTAGGCATGTAGACATGGTCAAGATTACTTGGTAAAGTTAAAACTGAGAAATGGAATAAGGAAGAAAGGTGTTTTAAGTGACTGAATGTGGTCATTGGGTTGGTATGAAACTCAGAAACTGCTGATATACTGTGATTTTACCCACACAACCATCTCTGGGGTTTACAGAGACTGGTCCACAAAAAAAAGGAGCTAACGGAAGGAAACAGTAACTTAAATATGCAGAAGAGCATCTGTCAACGTACAACATGTGCAACCTTCAAGCAAAAGGGCTACAGCAGCAGAAGACCACACCAGGTTGTTGTTGGTGTAATGGTGTGGGGGATATTTGCACACTGTGTCTCTTGACCATTGTTCAAACACCATGGTCTGCATTAGCTTTGCTGCTGATGGTGTCCTTCCCACTTTATGAGCACCATCTTCTGATGGCTGTTTTCAGCAGGATAAAACACCAGGTCACAATGCTCAAATCACCTTTAACTAGTTTCCGAACATGACAGTGAGTTCACTGTACTAAACCACCTCCAGAGTCAATAGATCTCAGGCCAATAGAGTACATTTGCTCATTTGGTGAAACAGGATTTTCCCAGACAATAAAACATCAAACTTGGACCATAAAACTATCCAGACTCATTCTTTGGTTCATTATTCTGTTTAAGTATTTTAGTAATGTTATTTATAATGTTTGAGATTGCAAAAAGTCTTTACTGCATGTGTAGTAAAAGCTTTCCATCAAGTGCTACCCTGTTTAAAATCAAAGGATATCAGTAAAGGTCTTTAGCATTACTGATCAGAGTTAGCATAAACCACTTTTACAAATCACAAAAACATTTACATTCCAGGTCTCTAAAAAATACAGTTTCAAAATTTATTAAAAGCTGAAAAGTGTGTTTTACACCAATAGCTCACTATTGTGGAAAGTAAAAATCACAATGATTTAGAAGTCATTAAAATGTGTTCAGAATTTGACAATTTGATGACGAGTCATCATCAAATCATGTAGGGGGAGAGCAGTGTGCTTAAAACAGCACCTGATTAGAATTAGGTACGGCCGATGGCACCCCCTTTCAGAAATTAGGCGCTAGTTCTTTACCAATTTTCCTAATTATGAGAGAATACAAGTTACTATTTAAAAAACACGCTTTAAAATGGGAAATAAACATAAAAGACATACTGTCAAAGTCCACTCACCCACTATGATGGAGTCAACATTTCCAGACATGAACATAGAAGTATTCTTAGAGTTCAGGTTAGAGTGGCGGGCAGACAGAAATGGTGACAGCTCTCCAGGAGGTTTTTCTGGCTGCTGTAAGCTATTGCTGTCTGTGATCTGGTCTTCAGATGTTGCTGTTTCTTTCTGAGCCTGGGTCTTGATGGATGAAGCCAGCTCAGGGTGACTGATTACTATCCACTCGTAACGCTCCATCTCTGGCTTCAGCTAACAAGAGAAACAGAAATGTCTATAATTAACAACTACACACCAGAAAACTACACATTAAATGAAGTAATAATAGAACAAAACACCCATTTTCTTAAAAATCACATAAATTAGTTAATATCCCAAAATGAATCCTGATTTTAACAAACAGAGATGCATCATGGAATTTAGCATTCTTTAGGAAAAACAGTCTCCTGTGGACATTGGAAGTTTCTTCACCAAGCAAATTCAACAGCTCTGTCTTCCACTGCTGAGTTAAGGCAGCACTGTCTAATCTCTTTAACAAAACTGTTGCTTTTGGCAGACCAACTACAATCTACTGTTTCTTGAGCTCCATTGGGGGGAAAAAGTCACACCACAAACACAGAAGATGGGGGACTCTAGAAGTTTGGAGCTTTAACATAACTTTTACTTGTTAGAGTCATGGCTGCTTTAAAAATTCTGACTCCTCTAAGCAGCCATCTGGTACTCTGAAATTTTCCCAGAGGAGACACTCAGCCTCAGGGGTCCTCAGTTTGAGATGTAATTAAGAAGTTGGAGCAGTTTTCTCAGAAGATTTTCTTGGATTTCTAGTCATAAAATTTACCATTAGGAACTACAAACAAGAAAACTCAGCTTTTTACTGCAGAGCAGCTTCATGATGATTTAGTAGACTCTGGTGTGGCACCTTTACTGTGCCGTGACACCTGCAAAAACGTGGCTCATCAGAAGAAAACCTCTCTTACGCCTCACGAGTCTACAATCAGAAGATTTCAAATGAACATCTAAACATGGCACATACATTAGAAAACTAATCCAGTGTGTTTGATGAAGTTGAAACAAAGCTTTATGGCCACAATGAATAAAGAAAGGTTTGGAGAAAATGGGGTAAATTAAGTCAAGCAGAGAAACAATACAAGCTCTAACATGAGCTTTCTTTGATATGTACTCATTTCTAATCTTGTCCATCCTGGTCACTCCCATTGAAAATCTTAACATCTCCAGCTCATCCACAGTCTTTTTGTCAGTGCAATGTGCTCAAACCATACATCACAGCATGTCTCACTAACATCTTTTAACCCTCCGTTTCATTCTTGCTGCCATCCTTCAGTCACAGATCACCTGTGATACTCGTCTCCACTCACAACATCCTGCCCGCACTCTCTTCTACACGGTCAGTTGTTTTGGATGGCTGACCCCAAGTATTTAAACTCATGTACTCATTTGAATTACTTCTCCTTCCAGCTTCTCTGTTACATCCATGTTCCTCTTAGTCACACACTTACATTCTGTCCTGCTTCTATGAATTTGCCTTCCTCTTCTCTCCAGAGCAAACCTCCACCTCTCCTATCTGCTCCCTACCATCGCTAAAGATCAGTGTCATCTGCAAAGATCAGTCCATGGAAATTCCTGCTTTGTCTCATTTGTCAGCCTGTTCATCACCATTGAAAACAAGAAGGGGCTCATTCCCTGGAGTAATACCAGGCTCACCTTGAATCCATCTGTCACACCTACAGCCCACCTCACCTCTGTCTAAGCTATCCTTGCTTACCTCTCTGCCATTTCAGACTTCTCATGCAGTAACAGTTGCTCTCTTGGCACCCCATCATATGCTTTCTCTAGATCTACAAAGACCTTCTGACGTTCTCCGTACTTCTCCATTAACACACTTGAAGCAAACATCGCATCTGTAGTGCTAACTCATCATGAATCTGTACTGCAACACACCGATCGTCATTTCTTTTCCCATAGCTTCATGATATGGCTCATCATTTTTGTTCTTCTGTAGGTACTACAGCTCTGCACGTTGCCTTTGTTTTAGAATATCTGTACTAGTACACTTCTTCATTCTTCAGGCATCTTCTCTTCTCTAGGTTTTTGAAAAAAAAAAAATCTCTCTCTCCCTAACACCTGAAAATCTAGAATAGGCTCCTTGAAGAGGTGCAAACAGAACTGAACTGAATGTAATCTTTATTTTGAACATGTTAAAAAAATACAACCACAAAGAAATTAAAAAAAAAAAAGAGACAAACAAACAAAGCAGAAGTTTTCTTCTTTACAATCTCTACCTAAAAACTGTGGACAGAGCTCAAAACAGAAGTGGATACAAGTCCCAAAATTACAGAACTAGAAGCCTTATGAAGGAAGAATGGAGGATCACCTTCACAGCTTTTAGCAATGCATTAGAAAGCTGTGAGACTTGTCAAAGGGGCATTACTGATCATGTAAGAAAAGGACCTCAAACTGATGTTTGAGGTCCTTTTCTTGAATTTGAAAATGTAAACGATAGAAAAAAGAAAAGAAAAATCCCATAAGAGAAGGTAAGACCTTTAAGTTTACGTCTTCTGGAGACTGATAACTTTTTTTTTTGTAGGGTTATTCTAATGTTTGCATGGCATACATTATCTTGTATGCTACTAATTTTCTCCTGGTCCTGTTCAAACCTCTACTGCCCATCCAATAGACATTGGTCCTGGAGTCTGTCTCTCGTGTGTGTCAGGTGTGGTATCAGGTACGAGCCTGCTACGATACTAAGGGCTTCGGGTTACAGGAGTTTCCGATATGTGTGTGCTTAAGTATTGGTGTTTGAGATGACTGTGTTTTCTGGTGTCTAGGCTCAGACAGCACACAGCTGAGCTTTACACAGTTAGCCAAGTAAATAATTCATAGAGAAGGGAACAGACAGCCAGTCTTTATTTCTATTTCTCGGCAATGTTGCACTGCTGCCACCAGAATAGCAAGAAGAGTGGCTGTTTTTTTTGCACTTGACAGCATGTCAATGAATAGGGAACTGTGCCCTAGTATGAAAACTTCTCCAAATGATACACCAACTGGGGCCATTGATATTGACAACAGTAACATTTGAAAAAAAAGACAGATGGTACCCCCTGCTGGTCATACAATAGCACTACAAAAAAATTCCAACTATCTCTAAAAATGACTCAAATGATGTCTTTAAGAAAAAAATTGGTTTTTTTGCTACTAGATAACTGAAAATAATCTTACCCTGAAGACAAAACATTCCCCTGTGCCGAAGAAGCTCAACTTGTTGCCTCCTCTCTTCCTTTCCTCCCAATCAGTGGACAGAAACGCTCCGCATACCTGTTGGAAAAAAATTAAGTAAAAACTGCATGAGTAAGATAATCTGTGGATTTATTCACCTTCAGCGGTTGTGACAAAAGTCAAGCAAGTGGAAGGACTGACTGTGGTGCCTGTAAGATGCCAACACTAATGCCAGGATAATCCAATCATACGACACATGTATAATCAGGAACTTTAAACCCAGTTCACAGAACGCAGGACAAAAATATAACCCGAGTCTACTTTGAAAAACAGAAACCTAATCTTAGCCTCTTTAACTCCTTAAATAAAGAGCAATGACTGAGTTAATGCTACGAGTAGGTCATACCTATTGCATGTGCTAAGAAGGACTTTACTTGTCAAACATGACATCTTTACCTTTGATGCTCCCTGTATCAGACAAAGATAGAAACTAATGATAGTTATATATTAGGGTGGGTCAGAGGGCAAGAATGACTTAGGGTCGGCAAAAGCCCTTAAACTAAGAAACCAAAACAGAAACATAGAAAGAAAAAGTGCAGAAATATGTTAAGACATTTGTGCAAATGTTTTTACTTGTGCATTAAACTCAAACTTTAACGCAATCTCAGTACAGACCTGCATCCCTAAATGGAGAAAAATTAAGCTAACATTTATGCATGCCCGTCTCTGACAACAATCCAATCCATTTACTGATAGACTGTTAAACTCCACTGTGTCTTGGACTGCAGCCGGTGACAGCAGTGCTTCTGCTCTGAAGATCCTCTGCAAGCTGGAGGGTCACACCACCACAGAGGTTGCAGCAGGTGGAGTGCTGGTTCAAGCGTCATCACACTGAGCTCATAGAGGCAGCAGCGCTGAGCAGAGTCACAAACTGCAGTTCAGTTTTCTGCAGTTCAGAGAAAACTGATCTTTGCTTCCTCTTTATTGTGACAAAATGTACAAAGTATGAGTAATACTCATGAGGTTGCTTAATTTTTCCTTTTCACACATCACAGACTGGATCGAGATCGCCCAAAGGTTGGTTCCAAATATGAGATCGCATTTTACTCGTATTTTATCTTAGCTTGTTGATCATAATAAAATATCTGATGGCACATTCCACCGTTTCCTTCAGACAAAATAAACAATATTTATGTCACTAGAAAGAAATGCTACTTACATCGCCATCTGTGGTCCTGATGAGGAGCAGAGTGGGTTCGTGGCCCTCACAATGTGAGTAGAATCTGTAAAAAAGGAAAAACATTTAATTCACTGTAACAGTCTTATTAAACACCTAATAATGAAACTAACACATATCCAGTGGATCGTAATGCAGCAACAGTCACACACTTTTGTATTTTGTACTTTATTAAAACACGAAGCTGTTGCTTTAAGCCATGAAAGAAATTGATTTGACTCCATTAAAAGAAAAATGTAACCTTAAATTCAGATTTACCCAAACTTTTAGTTGTTAATTTCATTCAAAGTTATAAAATGTAAATTATAAGCAGCAGCTAACACTTAATTAAATTGTAAAATGCACCTGTTCAGGCTGCAACCGTGGGTGGAGGTTGTGAAGAGAAGCTGTGGTTGGCACAGGGCAAAGCGCTCTGGGATCCATGACCAGATGTCATGCATCTCCTTGGCACTGACTATCTCCGAGGAAAATGTGTCAGGGTTAAGTGCCAGCTGCACGTTCCGCCTGCAGATGCCAAAGCAATTTAGACACAGGAAAGAGAGAGAGGTTCGGAAAGAGCATCCCATACAGTGAAGAGATGTGTATAAAATACACCCCCCCCCGGAAAAAAAACAAAAAAACAAAAAAAACAAAACAAAAAAACCAAACAAACACACAAAACAACAACTTGGTCACAGGTTATTTAAAACAGGTATCAGAAATAAGTGTAACCATGAAAGAGCACCCACCTAGAGCTGTAAAAGAACCAATGTGGCAAACACAGGAGTGGTGTGCAGATGAGACAGAACATGGTGCATGGAAAAATCGTGGCACAAACCAAGCAGAAAAGAAAAAAGAACAGACGGTGAGAAAAGGATGCAAAGCAACTCAAACTGTTTCCTACAACATGCCAGAATATAAAGCTTAAAAGGCAGAGGGCATTGCTACCAAAAAAAAAAAAAAAAAAAAATGCTAAAACAGTTAAGACTGTAAACATATCTACTCTACACTTGTGCTAAATTATATTTCAAATGGTTTATATTGGTCGTCTGCATGCCATGCATACCAGGGTGAAGTCCACAAACCGTGAAGGAAGTTTAGTCATGTTCAAGTATTTTCATTCTAATGGCAGTAGATTTCCAGACTGAAGGTAATGGTAAATTATGAAACATTAGAGTTCACATATTGCTAGATTAACAAAGTGGACTGATTAATTTTATTAAAAGACCTCAACTCCTAGTATGGGACTGTGAGAAGCCATTTGGTCAAGTTTATTATAAAAATTATACAACATGTGGTAACATTAACTTAAAAAAGCAGAGTAATGACATAAAGCCACATTTTTAGACATAAACACAGCGTGTAGCAAAGTGTCCGCACAGGAAATAGCCCAGTTTTGAAGTTTAGAAAGTACATTTACCCACTTAAAAAACAAACAAAACAAAAAATAAAACATTTACTTTTTTTTTTTTTTTAAACTTTACCGCTTCTGCTTCACAGTGATTCCTTTTTGCTGCAGGGACTTCTCATTTGTAAGCTGCAGCAGGGTGATCTCCTTGCGGCTGAACAGGCGGATGGAGAATGCCTTCTCGAGCAGCTTGTCAGGTGTGACGGTGGAAGCAATGCCCTTAACAAATGCCTGAATATCTGCCTTGATTTTGTTTGAATCCTCCTGCTGCTGGTTGCCCTGCCCCCCCTCTGCTCCCATTTTATGCTTGCGATAGAACTTGAGCAAGGCTACTGCCACGCGGTAAAGAACCTTATAGCCCTCTACTAGGTAGACATCTAGGACCCTAACCACATGGCTAAAAGGCAGGTCACCGAGGACCCAGCGCTGCCAGTCTGAGTAGACATCCATCACATCCTGAGCCGTAGCAACGATCAGTTTGTGAGCAGCTGTGCAGTACTTATTGGCTAGGTCACCGAAGGTCATGCAGCTAGACTCATAAGCCAGGAAGGTCTGGTCTATAAGTCGCTTCCCTGGCTCGTTGCATGCCAGTATGCGGCTGACATGCTCAAAACACTGAGCTTCGTCTACACTGAAGTGCAGGAGCAATGAAGTAACTGCAGGAAGAGCTGGGCAATGAGAGATATCTGGAAACTGTCCAGCGAGGCAGTTGATGATCTGATGGACTGAGGCTACTGCCTCCGGCTTCAGACAGTACCGCGGTATGGGATTTCCATCCACAAATTCTGGTAGTGGGACGTTGGTGGAGGTTTTCTTTGTGGCTGCATTTCCCATAATGTCACGATACACTGCTGCATCTGGGGTCACTGTACGGCAAGGAATGGCTTTGATGAGTTGCTGGTAGACTTGTGCCCGCAGCTTGTGGTTCTTGGCCCAATAACCTTGTCGAGCCATCCGTTTGAACTCTTTCAGATCTTTAGTGTCCACCTTGGTGGGCCCGCTGCTCTTGGCCAAATCGCCCATCTGGTTCCAGTCCACAAAGCTGCCATAGTCTTCTTCAGCCATTGTGCTGTAAACTTGCTGGACTGCTCGTGCAGGAAAAGAGGAGGTATCTGCCGAGGTCTTACTAACCTTCTAGCCTCCACACAGCAGATATTTTGTCTTTCTTATCTGCCCATTGTGGTCACTGGAAAAAAACAAGGGTGACAAGAATCAAAAAAAGCTTATAATTATGCACATGCATTATTAGTAACTGTCAGTAGCATCATAGAATTATTAAGTTCCCACCGATGTAAATTTCATATTTATCACTTGAAAGATTTGTTCGAAAATGGCTTCCACCTTCTGAGCCCTTAGGGAACTTATCTAATTAGTCCTGATCTACACTAAGTACAATATATTACCAGAAGTATTCACTCACCCATCGCCGTCATTGAATTAAGGTGTTCCAATCACTTCCATGGCCACAGGCGTATAGAAATTGAGTACCTAGGCATTCAGACTGTTTCTACAAACATTTGTGAAAAAATGGGTCGCTCTCAGGAGCTCTGTGAATTCCAGCGTGGCATCATGATAGGATGTCAGCTGTGCAACATGCCCAGTCGTGCTACTAAATATTCCAAAGTCAACTGCTAGTGGTATTATAACAAAGTGGAAGTGACTGGGAATGACAGATACTTAGCCACAAAGTGGCTCTGCTGGCTCAGCAGATGCTGAGGCACATAGTACCCAGAGGTTGATTACTTTCTGCAGAGTCAGTAGCTATAGACTTTCAAACTTCATGTGACCTTCAGATTAGCTCAAGAACAGCGTGTAGAGAGCTTCATTGAATGACTTTCTATGGCCAAGCAGCTGCACCCAAACCTAACATCATTAAGCACAATTCAAAGCGTCAGGTGCAGTGCTGTAAAGCATGCTACCATTGGTCTTTAGAGCAGTGGAGACGTGTTCTCACAAGTGATGAATCACACTTCTCCATCTGGCTAACCGATGGATGGGTCTGGTTTGGTAGTTGCCAGGGGAACAGTACTTGTGTATTGTGCCAACCGTAAAATTTGTGGAGGGGGGGATTATGTGTGAGGGTTCTTTTTCAGGAGTTAGGTTCAGCCTCTTAATTCCAGTAAAAAGTAACTCTTAATGCTTCAGTATATCAAGACATTTTGGGAACAGTTTGGGGATTACCCCTTACTGTTCCAACATGACGGCGCACCAGTGCACAAAGCAAGGTCCATAAAGACATGGATATCTGGGTCAGTGTGTGGAAGAACTTGACTGGCCTGTGCAGAGTCCTGACATCAACCTGATACGACACCTTTGGGATAAATTAGGCTACGTTCACACTGCAGGTGAAAGCGCATCAAACCCGACTTATTTGACGCTATGCGACCCATATCCGATCATGGTATGACAGTGTGAACAGCACAAATCCGATATTTTCAAATCTGATCTGGGTCACTTTCGTATGTGGTACTGAATGCGATACATATCCGATGTTTTAGAAAGCGACTGCTGTTTGAACGGTCAAGTCACATTAAATCCATCTTTTACGTCACTGACACAAGACAGACGCCAATTATCAGCGCCGGAGAAGCACCCGAGAAGACATCGTGAACGCTTCCTGGCCATCCCGTGTAGATGTCAGTGAAACTGTTGGGAAGACAACGTTGGAGAAACGTGAACATTTTATTTGTACTGTATAATCTGCAGATTCTGACAGAAATCTGCAACTATCCTTTGAAGCACCGCTCCGCTCTAAAACAGCAATAAGGATAATTATTAGGCCATATGTAAATAACAAAATAACTTTATAACTTAAAGCAAAATTGGGAAATGTAGAGTATGAAACAAGTCTTTATATTAACAGCCATCAGTCAAACAATACTGTTTGTTCTGGGCCTAAACAGAGTGCGTTGTGTGTGACGTCTTCTTTTGTGCATGCGGGCCGCTTTGAGGGTTCACACTAGAGCGCGTTTGCTGTCACATTTTATTTGTAGTGTGAACAAGCAGACAAAAATATCGGATTTGATTAAAAAAAATCGGAATTGAGCATTAAGACCTGCAGTGTGAACGTAGCCTTAGGGTCTTTTGGGATGTCACTCAAGTTTATATGACAAACGAGTGAATACTTTTGGCAATTTAGTGTATATGAGCTAACTGAGGATAAGCATACAATTAGGAAGAAATATGAATATCTGAAAGTGGAAAATTAGACTTTATAGCATGGTACTGTACAAAATACAAAAAAAAAAAACGAGTGCTATAAAAAGAAAAACTAATAAATGGATAACAAATGTAGCATTGGTATTTACATCAGAATACATAAAATACTGCCCAATATGTAGCAATGTTAAATTAGAAAAATGCACAAAAATAAAGACTCAGAAAGTTTGGCTGATTTAATTGGTTACTAGAAAAAAAAAACAACCTGTAATTGTTGAAGGTCACAAGCTGTTAACTAACTGTTTCACATCCCACATGATACAGGCAGATGGTACGTCTACAAATCAGTTGCGCCCTGAAACATACGGAGAATAGCTGAAGCACAATCTTTTTGGGTGCTTTTATTTCCCCTTTCTCAAGACGTCACATGAAGATGGCAGTCCAAAGATCACTTGCAATACACTAAAAGAGACAGTCATTAAAAATCTGTTTATATAACTGTCACATAGAGGACGATATCAACATATCCTTGCATGAGAAGCTGGGAGCACTCGCGATATAACTGTCCTACTTATAATAAATAAGGGCATGTTTCACCTAAATGTTGCCATTATACACGTGACACTGGGTGCAACTGATCAAAGTCAGACTCCATAATATAGTGGCTAAGATTAGGTCTAAGAATAGTTTGGCAGTCTGTAGCACAGTCGCACACTGTTTTATAGTGCGGTCACACCTGTAGTCTGGGCTTCATCGGAAAAACTGTGCTCTATCACACAGGTCTTGTTGTTTGCTTGAATTAAAAATAGAAATTTCTGTCCGCATTAAACAGGAATGTTCTGAGAAAAAAGGTTTGGAATTTCATGAACCACATACTGGAATGAGCAGTTTTGGTCTTGTTTTGCAGGATGAATATTTCACTGGGTGACTAAAGAACAGAATAAATCTGTATTTAAAAATAAAGAAAGAAGGCAAAGATGAAAAGAGGGCAGCTTCTATTACAGGAGAATTACACCGTAAAATCCACAAGGAATTAATGACAACAAAAGGTACGAGCTGAAGTTTTTACCATGGCTCTAAAAAGTAAGGAAAACTCACTCGAGGCGTGCAATCACTATGAATGACTGAAGAACCCCCAAAACAAGAAGTGAAACAGTCTTATTCGTCCCACAGAATTGCTAAACTTTTGCTTTACGGCCATTTCCTTTTTTTGTGGTTTTGTTTTGTTTGTGACCTGTAAAATCTAAATGCAATCCTGTTTAAAATAATTACACAAATGCTGCTCAATAAAGATGTCAGACTGATACAGCCTAGCCATTATTTTGACCAATTACGAGTTCCCAAATCTCAGGGCTCAAATGGTTGGATTTATCCTAACCAAACTGCATTTTAATTGCAAACCAAAGCAAAGATTTTTAACCTTTCATCAAGATAACAGAATTTTCCTGTAGGCATTTAAAAAACAAAAAAGAAAGAATATTGTAATAGTTTAAGGGTTTCCAGCTAAAGAATGATTGATTTAATCACTATATACACTTTACATTCACAGATAATAGATGTAGATGAGAATGACACTGGGATGGCAGCTGTATTACTATGTGTCTGAAAATTTACAGAAAGAAAAGACACCCCCAACATTTCCGTACTTCTTTTGATGCTCCATGTCCATTTGAAATAAACAAAACAAAACCTGCCTCAGATATTAATGTAAAACGTACCGAGGGGAGGAGGAGGAAGCTTCTTGCTAGCCTTAACGGAGAGCGTACTGTACTGTTAGCTAGCTGTACTATAAAACCAATTACTGCTTTTAGTTTCATTCTGGACGCTCAGTAAAAGCACACAAACGGCTAAGGTAAGGCTGCAGGTACAATTGTGTCATCACATACTGAGGTGACAGCTCTAAATTAGCTGCATTTTCAATCCTATAAACGATTAACGTCAGCTAACCAGCTGAGGCAAAATAAGCTAGCACGAAACAAGCGGCCACGGGTCACAGGGTATTTAACATTACCGCCGGAGTAAATCTGATATACCCTTTTCCATTCACACTTGCCAAGTTAGCACTGTTAGCCTTAGCTAGCCGCATCTGTCAGTGCAATTCAGGAGCAACCGGAACCTTAACTAGCCGCACAAAACCTACTCGCTAAACACATAACCTCCACAACAAGCGTGCAGATACGGACAAACGCTAAAACATTTGAGCAAGCTCTTGGCTAACGTTGCTTCATTAGCCAGCATGGACGTTGTCAACCACAAATTAATTTGGTCCAAAGGCTGTCTTGGAGTTTGTTTATAACAAGATGTTTCCGCTTATTTATTTATTTTTTAGAAAAGCGTGTCATATCCACAAAGCTAGAAACACGCCAGAGTATTACCTTTACTCTACAACAAGGAAGACGATATATAAATAGCTGTCAGAAGAAAATTAAATGAATATCCCTACCTGAGTCTGAGATGTCTTGAGACGGGAGACAGCGTTCATATTAAGTACCCTCGAGCATGCGCACTGCCTCCAATCCCGGACGCAGCGTTTTTGAGCGTGCAGCTGCTGAAGCTGCAGACAGGGGCTCAGATGGAGTGGTTAAATATAAACTGTTCTCAGTTACTTATCTGTACACTCACTAGGTTGTTAGATTATTTTTGTGAAAAAAAACCCAACGTTAATACAAAGATAAATCTAGAATACAAACTATATAATATTAGTAGCAGACATACCAAATTTGGGGTTTATGACATGGGCATGCCAGTATCAAACATTTATGTTACACAAAAAGCTATGAAATTCCATAAACTCTGCTGAGTGCAACAAAGAGTAGCTCAAATATTTATCCATGGCTTAGTTTCTGAAGAAAAGTACTGTTGCGTGGTAGATCCCATTATCTGCTATGTCCTGTTTACTTCCAGACCTTCTGTGTCAAATATGTGATGGCAGTGGAACAGGACAGGAAGTACCCTGGCAAGCACAACAAGCCCTGCCTTTGTCCAGGACTCAAAGCAACCATCAAAATACAACCGCCCAACACATGACAGTTATTACTGATGATTAAATTGTGGGGCCATCACAGAGCGACTCTGGGTAAAATGTTATTTGGCTCTGTCTCTCTTCCTCTCACGCACTGCCTATGTCTTTTTATACCGTCATTTTGTACTTCAGTAATAAAGAAAAAGGGGCAAATACTACTACTAGTAATAAACAAACATATCAGCATTTGTGTTTTTCCCTATATAATATAAGTAAAAAGCCACCACAAAACTGATTACGTTGCACAGCACACAGAAATGACAAAAGAAGAGAGCAGCTATGTCACAGTGAGGCAGATCTAATCTGTCATCCATGTACATGGTTCTCTGGATAACTCATAACTCATCAAGTCTTTTCTATTTCACACTTTGCACCACCCAAGACGCCATTTACCTCCCACTCCAGCCAGAATGGATGTATTATCATGCACACAAATATCAGCACACTCTCTTACATGAAGCATATGTGCAGGCATGTGTTGGGGCTAGATAGGATCAATGCAACTTAATACATTTGCTCCAGTACTTTAATTACTTTAGTAAATCCATATTAGAACACAGGGATGCACATGAACCTCACAAAAATGAAAACAACAGTTTAATAATAATAATGGATTGCATTTATATAGCGCTTTTCAGGTACTCAAAGCACTTTACAATTCCACTATTCATTCACTCTCACACACTGGTGGAGGCAAGCTACAGTTGTAGCCACAGCTGCCCTGGGGCGAGAAGCGAGGCTGCCATATTGCGCCATCGACCCCTCTGGCCATCACCAGTAGGCGGTAGGTGTCTTGCCCAAGGACACAACAACCGAGACTGTCTGAGCCGGGGCTCGAACCGGCAACCTTCCGGTTACAAGACAAACTGCCAACTCTTGAGCCACGATCGCCCCGTTTACACAGTCTACACTGGGTTCATTTCTGATTTCTGATTTAATTCCCACATCTCTTGTACTTGATCACCGCTATGCAACCCCATTTAAATACCCCTGTTTTTGATTCAGTATATGTGTCCTCTCATGTCGACAGTTTATTTCAGTCATCCACTGTCACCACACTATACTAACCGAGCCAATTTTAATAGACAGACAAATACCCCAACTGGGGGTGGATGCTCTCACCATCCAAGCCTTTTGGCCAGTACCTTGTCTCACAAACACCCGGTCTTCTTTGAACCTTCCCCCCAATCCCTTTAATAATAACCCTGCTTCACATGGTGAGACCGTCAAATCACAGGGTCCACTTACTGGTGTCCAAATGACCATTAGGGACCTGATTTTCAAAGCTCCTCCATGTACCACACAAAGACCTGTAGCATCACATGAGGAGAACTGACCTCCCCATCTAGCTCGATGGGAAGATAAGGCAATTGAAGGGATTAAATCATCCCTGACTGATTTAGGGCTTCAGTTTGTGGATACCACTCTGAATGTAAGGGGTTCTTTAGCAAGGATGGTGGGTCAATACTTTTGAACTACATTCTCGTCATAGGGCACAAATAGCCAAGAAGATCCATTCTCTTGCAAAACATACTATGGTACTTATCTTTTAGAGGTCAGCCAAGCCACCTAAGCTATATCAGTATACCATGACCATCCTAATGCTGGCCACTCTGCGTGTATTTCTGGTCGTCTGTTTCTCTCTGTCAGGAGGCAATGGACCCTCTGAGCGAGTCGTGCTGCAGCACTGGACCTTCCATTGGTCTGACAGGTTTTGGACAAGTCACCCTTTGAAGCCAAATCAGGAATGTCCCTGAGAGAGAACTCAATCAGTCAGTGAATACTGTTTTCTTTCAGCAGTTAGTACAGCCAAGAGACCTCCACGCAGTCTCTGTCAGCTGTACATGTTTGCATTGGAAGCCACGTGGCTCTGGAGTCACACTGTGGCCAACATTGTTTCACCCAGACATATTACTGAGGACACAGAACTTCAGGTATACTACCCTGTATACTTATGATCTGAGCAAGAAGAGAGGGCCAGTTTGACTTGTCCTTTCATTCTGGCTTAACATGAAATTTCCCACTTGTGGGACTAATAAAGGTATCTTATCTTATCTTATCTTATCTTATCTTATCTTATCTTATCTTATCTTATCTTATCTTATCTTATCTTATCTTATCTTATCTTATCTTATCTT